GATTGTGGTGTGGCCATCTCCTCTGGGGGGTGATTTCTCACTTTCTGTATCTCTGGTGAGCACACGCACCCTATGGCAAAAACCTCTTTACAAAAAAAGTCAATAAATCTTAAAAGTAAAAAAATAAATAAATAAAAGGAAAGAAAGAAATAGTAGGCAAGGAGGCCAGCAGGTAGCATAGTGGTTAGTGCACTGGGCTCCCACATGGCCAATCATGGTTTGAGTCCCAGACTTGGCAGCGTGAAAATCATGCCGGGCGCATATGCATATGTACCCAAAATCCCAGGAGGAGAACAAAGGAGAAGTGACTGTGGCATGGTCATGTCCCCTGGGGCGGTGACTTCGCACTTTCCCTTTTACTGTCTCTTTCTGTATCTCTCTAGCAAGACACAAGACCTATGACAAAAACCTTAAAAAAAGGAAAGAAAAGAAATAGTAGGCAAAACTAACAATGCAGGAGAAAGACGGAAGAGACACAGATACGTAATGACGGACTGCGACCACTGAGAAGGTGAGAAGGGATGAGATGCAGAGGCCCAGAAGAGAAACCAGCCTATGGCTTTAGGATTTGTCCCCTTCCAAATTCACGTGGAAACTTAATCACCACGGTGACAATATTAAGAGGTGAGACCAAGTAAGAAGTGACTGTCACAAGAACTCCACCCTCGCAAGTGGATTAAGCCCTCTGGGCATTTACAGGTCAAGGCCAGAGTGGACAGCTGTAACAGCGGCGCTGTCCTGCCCTCTCGCTTTGTGATGCCTGCGGCCATCTCGGGATTGAAGAGGGGCAGAGTCCTCACGAACACAGACGCCCTCACCGCATGCGAGACCCTTGACCGTGAGCTTCCAGAACCGTGAGCTGAGTGAATCTTTACTCTTTATCAATTACTCAGCTATAGCAGCAGAAAAGGGAATGGAACACCGTGTTTGATGAGTGCAGGGACGCGCCACCGTGTTAGCGGGAGGACGCACTGCGTGCACTTAGATGAGCAGACTTGATGGCGGAACAAGAGGCATTACTGCACACTCCAGTGGGTCTCACACACCGAGCTGGCCTTCACTCCTGTGCCCACCCTGTCAAGACAGCAGGTAACTGTATATCCTACGACGTGGATCGGGACACTGACTCCACTGCTTCTGAGCCATTTAACCTCTCGGAATCTCAAGATCCTTTACCCAAAAACGAGGGGCTTACAGATGTGAAAATGTCTCTTTATTATGCCAATAATTACTTGAATAATTTCTTTTCATCTTAACCACACCTTATGAAATCAATACTAACCCCATTTTACAAATAAGGAAACTGAAACTCAGAAAGATGAAATGACTTACCAAAACCAAACAAGGCGGAAATGGGAAGGCTGGAAAACTCAGTAATATCCCACCCCAAGGCCATGCTTTTAAACTACACGACACTGCAGTCTACTCTGTTAGTTTAGGATACAGAATACGCGAACGTCCATATAGGAAAACCTCAACAAATGTGAAGTGTTATAAAGAATCAAGACATGATTATGGTAGATTTTACGAATATGTTTGTTACTCTCTATTAGACTACAAACTACAATACCTACCTAGTTCAGGGCCTGATACACTTAGGAAATGCTTGCTGAAAGATTCCATCAATATTTCAGGACACATAAAAGAATATGTTTTGTTCTATTTTTAAATTATATGCATGCATTATTTTGACAAACACTGAAAAAAATAATCTACTCCAATTTTTCCTACATATCCACAACTGCCATTCTTTCTGCAGACAAAACCGAACTCCCCAGCCATCCTGCCACACTTACCCACTTGTTTCTGTGGTTGACATGGGCGCCATTGGTTGCCAGGAAAAGAGCAGCTGCCTCATTTCCTGCTCCAGCTGCCCGCTGCAGTAAACAATTCCCTAGAAGAAAATGAGCAGTCATTCTTCTCCTTGTATAAAAACGAGCTCGAGTTCCCCACTGCACAATGCCCTCCCCTTCCCTGTCACCTTATTACCAACAAGCCCATACCAGACACAGGTATCAATTAGGTCCACGTAGGCATCTGTACGTGGACAGAGACTAGGCAAGACCCTGGGCTGCTGATGTTTTAGATGGGATAATTCTTAGCTGTAAGGGGTATGTATGTTCTTTTATTTTGGAGAGGTTTTTGCTGTAGGGCACGTGCATATGCCAGAAAGACAGAGACAGAGAGATAGAAAGTGAGACATCACCCCCCAGGGGGAATGGCCACACCACAATCCCTTCTCCTCCATTCTCCTCTTAGGATCTCGGGAACGCAAGCACATGCACCTGGCGTGAGTTTAAGCCACTGGGTCCGGGACTTGAACTGTGGTCAACTACTTGGGAGTCCAGCGACATAGCCATTACGCTAACTGCTGGTCCCAACACACTATGTGATGTTTAACAGTATCCCTAGCTTCTACTCATTAGGTCCCAGTAAGGCCCCTGAACTTCCTGTGATAACAAAAAACTGTGAGTGCATGTTACAAAATATCCTAGGACAGGAGGGGAAGGGGATCATCCTTGGCTGAGAATCGCTAGGCTAGATGACCACTGTAAACTGATGTTCTATCAGAAGTGCCCATTGAGGGACCAGCAGATGGCGTAGGAAGTTATGTGGCTAGACTCCCACATGGCCACCCGTAGTTTGAGTCCTGAACCCGGTGGCTTGAAACTCACGTCAGGTACATGTGTATGTGTGCCCAAGATCCTAGAAGGAGAAGGGATTGTGGCATGGCCAACCCCCAGGGGCGTGATTTCTCACTTTCCCTCTTGCTTTCTCTGTCTCTTTTTCTCTCCAGCAAGCGCACATGCCCTAGGGCAAAAACTTCTACAAAAAAAAAAAAAGAAAAAGAAAATGCCCCTTGAATAGTTAAGTTTTATTCCTAGGGTCTTAAACATATTTGTTCTTGGCTTAAAAATAGTTTTCTTAACATCGTCACCTTTCTTTAAATAAAAATCTTGAAAACAAATAAACCAAACTTCTTTCCTTTTTCTCTGAAAATGGTTTTAGCCTTGGAACAGTGTTCTTCAGTCTCTTAACATTTATTTCCAAAAATGAACATAAGACCTCATGTTCTACAGCGATGGTATTTCGAAATCCGAATAAACTAGATACGAGGATTAAAAACAAAGCAAAGAAACGGGACAAAGACAACTTTGTTTTCGTGCCATTTCTTCCTTTTCCCCCAGAGGTGATTCCACTTCAGCTGATAGTCATCTAACCTAGGGACTCCTAATGAGAGTTCTATGTTCACTTCTGCAGTCATTCCGGGTATGCAAGACCTAAACTAGACCTAAACCGAGTAAAATAGATACGAGGATTAAAAACAAAGCAAAGAAACGGGACAAAGACAACTTTGTTTTCGTGCCATTTCTTCCTTTTCCCCCAGAGGTGATTCCACTTCAGCTGATAGTCATCTAACCTAGGGACTCCTAATGAGAGTTCTATGTTCACTTCTGCAGTCATTCCGGGTATGCAAGACCTAAACTAGACCTAAACCGAGAAAACCCGTGACTGGTGAGACCGCCCGAACTGCTGGAAACGAGGGCGCTAAGGTTATTACATGCAAAATGAAAAATGGAACAAAGCAAAGGTAAAAAATAACAATCCTGAGCCTGTAAGTATTTAGCGATTAAAACAAAAGCATATAATGTAAAATTCACAGAGCTAGCATCTGATCTGAGGCAATTACATCAGAAGTCAGTATAAAGTGGCCAATCATCAAAACGCATTTGCAAACCACAAGCAATGCAGTAAGAATCACATTTCCAGAGGCCTTCCGACTAAAACACAGCCGTGTACTCCTCGTCCCACAGTACGACACATGTGCCTGGTGTGGTTTTCAGGCCACCAGGGCTGGGGTTTGAACTGCCATCAGCCATGTGGACCCACGAGACCAGAGGCCGGCCCTGGCCTTGGTTTTTCTGTCACCTGGGGTGATTTCATGGGCCCTTTATTTAATTAGTAACAGGACCGGTTTGTTTACTACTCTTCCTTTGTCCTTGCTTAGTTCTCAGAGGCGGCACCCACCTGTATTTTATACACTGCCAGGACTCGGTACTGACTAATACGGAACCCCTCCTCTTAAAATTCTCCTATACTTTATTTAGTTAGATCAAGGAAATACATTCAAGTAATCATTCCGAGTACGTTCTAAGGATTGCTATAAGTTTCTCAGGGGAGTATTTTAATATAATAGTGAAGTTCATTGATATTATTTCAGATTCCACCCTGCAACTCACTGAAAGACACTATCATGTGATAAATTTTATTTGTTGTAGTATCACATAAGACATCTATATGATATCTATAATGATCTAAAAAGGCTATTAAGTACATCTCCCTTTCGACTGTATCACTGTGTAAAGGTGTTCATATACTTTAACCAAAACAACATCTCAAAAGATGACATGGGCCGGCAGGTGGCATGGTGGTTTAGTCACTGGACTCCCACGTAGCTGACCGCAGTCTGAGTACTGGACTTGGAGGCTTGCTTCCTCACTTACCCTCGCTTCTGCCCCCCTGCCCCCAGCCCCAGTCTCTCTCTCTCATGGGAGCACCTGCCCTATAGCAAATTTAAAAATAATAATAATAGGAACCAGCAGCTGGTGTAATGGCTATGTTGCTGGACTCCCATGTAGTCAACTGCAGTTCAAGTCCTGGACCCGGTGGCTTAAACTCACTCAGGGCACGTGTGCGTGTATGCTCAAGATCCCAAGAGGAGGGAACCAGCAGTTAGCGTAATGGCTATGTCGCTGGACTCCCACGTGTCGACCGCGGTTCGTGTCCTGGACCCGGTGGCTTAAAACTCACGCCGGGCACGTGTGCGTGCGTGCCCAAGATCCCGAGAGGAGAATGGAGGAGAAGGGATTGCGGCGTGACCATCCCCCCTGGGGGGTGATTTCTCGCTTTCTGTCTC